AATGCTGTTTAAAGTAACAGATTATAATTAAATTTATGGCCCCACTTTAACTCCACAAACTACAGAAGAGGTTTTATAGATCAGACCCGTCGTGGCGAAACAGACGCCGCCTGTTGAAATGTCCTCTGCTGACCTCGCTAACGTCTCCTGTCTCCTCCCACAGTACTGCAAGTGTCTGGCGCTAGGACAGCCGTTTAACTTTGGGCAGCAGGACATGCCGCGGCTAAGGAGGCAAATGTACAAAGAACTGTGCCACTGCAAGCTCATCCTGTGACGGCGCCCGGATCCGGAGCGCGCGGCGGGACGGGAGGAGCCAGCGGATCGCTGGACGACAGAACATCTTCAAAGTTAACAGGGACTGAGGCAGGCGGGCGGCTACCAGCACACCTGACGTCCGGTTCGTCTCTCTGGTTCCGTCTGTTCGCTTTTATTTGAAGTTCTTAATTTTTCGACAGACTCATTAAAGGCGGGACGGTTTTTGTCACATGTCCCGGTTCCCTTTTCCTTCCGCGGCAGGAAGTTGGCGTAGAGAGAATCCAGATCGTCCTGCTTTCATGTAACCGTGTCCGACCATCTGAGGTGGTCTCTGTAAGCCTGTGAATAAAGCAGAACCTGTCGGGTTTTTCCGTTTAATTCAGTCCACCTGCGCAGGCCAACCCCCCCCACAGATCCAACATTAACGCCACGGCTTCTTTCGGACGTGGTCATCCGTGTAGGCGCAGCAGCAGCGTGGCGTTTCGGTGAGTTATATATATTTTTAAAGAGGTCAAGTCGTCGTGATTTTTGCAGGATTTCAGACGATGGAACTGATGAACTCTGCCACAAACCGGCTCTCTTGTACATTTACTTTCTTTTTTTTTTGAAGTACACTTTTACCTGACTTAGGCACCCGAAACTTTCTGCCTTTTTTCAGTAGAAAGAAACCAACACAAACATCTAAATGTGGGAAATTTGATCTGCATCTTTGTCCAAACGGATCAGATTGATTCAAAAACCCCAAAAAAAACCAAGGGTACCTTTTCCTTTCATTTATCTTCTTTGTGTTTTTATTGCTGTCAGTAAATGTGGTGATATACTTATTGCTTAAACAAATGGTGTAAAAAAAAAACAAACAACAACTTTAAATTAGTTTTTTTTTTCTTTTTGGAGCGAGCTCCAAATGTTCCGTTTAGTATTTGTTTGATAAAAGCCATCTTGGTCAGGACCACAGCAGCGACACAACAGGAGCACCGAATGGAGCTGCAGTGCTTTCTTCTTCTTCTTCTTCTCTTTTTTTTATAATAAAAGACAAACTTGTGAATAGCTGTCTTTTTGGTTTTTGCATTTGCATTTTTTTTCCTGAGTGGATGCAACAGAGATGTTTTCTATATCTTCTAAAATGAATTCTGGTTCGTTTAAAAATAAAAAATATGTGGCAAAAAATGTGTTTTTAACCTCGCAATGCATTATTATTTATATTTAAACCAGAGTTGGTGGAAAATAAAAGCTGACAATTTGAACTGGGGGGGGGTGCTATCCCGTACATTAAACACGATCAACTATCCTAGCAATCGGTAACCGTCTAGATTTAATCGGAGTCCATGGAGGTTCTGCAGTATGGGGTGATATAACTGTCAAAAATATGCGTAAGTTCCTAGGTTTGTAAATGTTTCTTGTAAACATATAATGTGACATCAAATGTTTAATTTGTGAAAATAGTTTTTTTTTGTTCGCTTTTTACTTTTCATTTAGTATTTTCAGGAATTAAAGTAATCCGTCTCGTAGCGATTGGCCGTGGGTAAAAAAAAAAGTCACCCAAATAAATTTACGGTAAATAAATTTAAAAAAGAAAATCAAAATCCGTCTTGCGTTTGTCAGCCAATGGAAGAGCGCTCTGAAACTAACAGTATTAACCAATCAGAAGAAGAAGGGCGGGTTTTAGGAAAGCGTGTTCCTCCTCCACGTGTTTGTTGCTCTAGTTGCCAGTTAGCTTGTGGTTCATTGCTGAAGGGAAAGTCACCTCGCGGCGTTTATGGCTCCATTCAACAGAAAAGTCAAAAATAAATAAAGGAAACTTAGTGTTTGGAGAGAACGGATGGCATGGAGTGGGAACCATGCAGGTCATGAACTCCAGGGAAGATGACCCCACCATAGATGGAGGTCTGAAAAATAAATGCTGCTGGCCGTGGCTGGAGGAGGCGGGGCCAGATGGAGAGCCATTTAGCAGCCGGAGCAGGAAGTTAGGTCAACCATGCGCCGCCTCCTGCACGCTGCGCTCCAGGAACGCTTATTTACACATCCAGCAGTTAAAAGTTGCTATGCTAACATCAAGCTGCTGTTCGTCCGGTCAAACAAACTACACGTTAGCAGGGAGCTACGGCAACATCTGATGGACCAGCGTCAATAATTGGCCGTTTATGAGAGTTAAAAATAAGGGTTAATTCTTTCCTCACGGAACACGACCTCCCAGTCGCACTAGATATAGACGCACTGCCACCTTCTGGCAGTTTTTGGTAAAGTCAAATTTAGTCTTCATTCATGCATCCTCTGATCCCATGTCGGGGGGGGGGGGGGGGGGGGGGGGGGGGG